GATATGAGCCAGTGCCCCATATTTGTCAGTGGATATAATATTAAAAATGTAGGTACTCCCCCGTCTGCAATTTTTGGAACAGGCAGCTCCTCCAAATATAATCTGTATTCTGTTGGTTTTAGTTCACTGATACAAACAGTAGACCTAACGTGAGCTCAAACCTGCTGTATCCAACAGAGAAAATATTTTGTTTAAAAACCTAATTGGAATTTTGGTCATTATTTATTTATTTTTTACTGTTATTAGAGTTACTTCACAAGACGTCTTAATCTAGAGTATTACAGAACTACTGCAGAATATTACTTAAATTCAAATTAGAAATCCAACCCAGAAAGCAGTGTACCTGTATGATTAGTTGTACACAAATAAATTTAAAACTATTCCTGTTTCGGCTGGGTGCAGGGGGCGTTTCTCGTTAGATTGGACTGTTTTTACGAGATACAATCTGGAATCATAACTATTTTTGTGTTTTCTAAGGTTGGTTGGAACCAAAAGTTTATCAGCTGTAAATATTTATTTATTTATTTATTGCTATTTAAGCAGACAAGTCCCGTTGAGATCACAGATCTCTTTTCCAAGGGCGGCCTGGGCCTGAAGGAAACCTATCGTACATGTTTTTAGGGTTGGGGGAAACCGGAGTACCTGGAGAAAACCCACACAAGCACGAGGAGAACATGCAAACTCCGCACAGAAAGACCCCAGGTCCGAACTGGGGATCAAACCCAGAACCTTCTGTTTGTGAGGCGTCAGTGCTAACCACTGAGCCGTGATATACATCAAACAAATATTTCCTGAAAATACTATTAGCAACTGTCCAGTGGTTCCAGAAAAATCTTAATAAAGACCCACAAACAGACATGGGAAAACATGCTATTATGTACCTTTGTCTTTCAGGGGTGGGTGATAACTGTATTATATCAGGCATTTATGTGACAGCTCATCTAGATCAAAGAATGTCTCAACATTTTGACACGTGGAGGAAATTATTTGCTTTAAACAAATGTAGCAAGTAATTTGTTTATTTTAATCTTCAACATTTGCAAACTATCAGCCCATTCATTTATAGCGCCTCACAAGAAGGAATCCAGTTTTATCAACATTTTTACTTTCATATTTCATATTTACTGGGCTATAAAGCCCATTTCCTACCATCTCAAGTAGAAGAAGTATGTTTTTAAAACGTTATAAATACACATGATGGTGAAAATAAAACAGGAAGATTTTATTTTACCTTTGAACACTCTCACATTGAACCGTAATCGCCTCAGAGCTTCTTCTGCATTGAAGTTACATTTGACTAATTCATACAAAGCCTGAAATAAAGAAAACAAATCAATAAACAACACAATGAAGAGAAAACTGAAAACAGTTATTGTAGTTTCTAAGACACAACTTCATTCTGTACCTGCTCGTTGTCTCGAACAATGGCACCTTTATTGCATACTGCCCCCTCCTGGTCATGATATCTCTGCACATTTAGTAAAAAATCCTCTTCTTCCTGCACAGGGAGAACACCTGGCCTCCACAACAACTGGTCCTCGCTGCTGCAGGCTGGAGGAAACAATTCAGAAAACAGAGGAGGTGAATAATATTAACTAAAAACATAGATTAAAACATAAATAAGGAGATGACAATGGTGAATTTCATCAATTATACTAACAAMAAGGGAGCAATTTTCAGATTTTCTGCATGATACTCAAAATATTTAGTCAGTGAAGAATTTTCTGAACTGTGCCATCTACATTAATTGCTGAAAAATAGTTTCATTTTCCCACCTTTCTGAAAAGTTGCTTACCTATCTCCTGGCAGGAGTAAGAGTTTATAGGAGGGATTTTTGCTTGATACATTGAGCCGACCATTATCTCCTGAAATTTTTAATGAAATCAAGGAAACAGAACACATGTCAGTAAAAGTGCTGTCTTAAAATCTGACCTGCACTATAGAGTCAGATGAAACCCAGAGGCATGACCCAAAACAAACGACGTCAGGTTATTGATTCACTTCAGTTTTGAATTAAGAAAAGATTATTCCATATAAAGAATTACTAAGAACATTATATTTGACCGGACAATCAGACCTAGTTTAAATGAGTGGATTCAGATGAGTTTTTCAAACATTTATGGTTGGACCTGATCATACTTTATATTTTATTTACATTGAACATAAACTGTTAATGTCAACACTAGAAGAAGGTAGTGGTTTAGTAGTGGCTGCCCAATAACGTTAGGGGAATCACTTCATTATATAAGAGAACCAAATAATTATCTTTTAACTTTTAAATGCGTCTATTGTGCTGCAGTGAATCATAAATGTTCATTTTAAAATCTATTTTTAAAAATAAATGTAAAAAAAAAATCAACAAGTAATTTTTTTCTAATAACTCATTGGCGGGCCAGACTGAAGTCACCTAAGGGCCAGATGCGGCCCATGAGTCGCCAATTGATGCTCATGTCATTTGTCAAACTTGACAAATGACATGAGCATCATTATACAATAAACAATTAAACTTCAGAACATTTTAAATGGAAAATCTTTGAGCAAATGAAAAACAAACAAACAAACACTGATATAAACTTGATGCAGGTCGCATTATTTTTTCAAAAAATCCTAACTGAGCATTAAGACCTGCAGTGTGAACGTAGTGGCCCTCGAGGACTAGGACAAATTGGTTTACACTGATGTGTTCCCTATGCAGAGTCAGACGAGTAAATTATCAAAAGTGTTAAAGCATGGGGGCATGCTCTGGTATGTAGATGACCAACAATAGAAATACATAAATCACAACAACCTCAAAAAGTTCTTGTAAGTCAAGGTAAGAACCAACCTGCGCTCAGTGGCCTACCTTGTGCTCTTCATTGGAGGGATCAGAGCCATCAGAGGAGTCATCTGAGGAGCTGACAGACATGGTTTTGTCTTCATCTGTAAAAGACGGAAAGAGAATACAGTAGTTGTACACAAAAAAAACCACAAAATAATAACGCCATCTTAAAACTCAACTTTCTGACTACAAACGAGTAGGGTTGGGAATCTTTTGATTTTGAATGATTCCGGTTCCTCGTTTCAAATTTGGTTAACGATTCCTAATTCCGACACGCTGGAGGCACTACGTTTCTCAGCTGGCCTGGGAATGCCTTGGGATTCCCCCAGAGGAGCTGGCCTAGGTGGCTAGGGAGAGGGAAGTCTGGGTTTCTCTGCTTAGGCTGCTGCCACCGCGACCCGACCACGGATAAGCGGAAGAAAACTGACGGACAGACTTTATTTTTTTATGAACTTCACTAAGAATTCCTCACAGGGCTTTTATCAACCACTGTATAAACAACAAACTTATGTTATGAATTTACTTCGCACAGGGGTAATCTGTGAATTGTCTTACTGCACTGCCAGATTAAATCACTTAGCCTCAGAAGATTCAGACTCACATTAAGTAAAATTATTTGTAAGTGGTGTAGCAATAACTTGGATTGGAATGTCAAACCCAAACTTTGTTTACCTCAAGACTGTGGCCTCTAAGCATTATTCTGTCTCATGCCTACTGAGACAAGAGTGATTTGATTCATTTACCTCCAAAACCATTGTTTACTATCTACGACTGGTAAGATAACGACAGGATGCGACAGAGACCTTCTGTTGTTATTTGAGTACAGTGAGAACTCTTTGATGTATTCAAAATGGCCGCTTATCATACGGAACTCAAAAGATCTTCGCAGACACGAAG